AATAATAATAATAATAATAATAATAATAATAATAATAATGTTAACTAGCAAATTCAACACTAAGCCATTAACTGAAAATATTAAAAATGGCATTCATAGCAGTACCATATGAATCAACTAGTACAATATTGTATCAGCGGAATTGCATTATGAATTTACCCATGGAAAAATGAACTGCAGCATTCATTGTATGTTATTTTTGCAGGTGAAGCTTTAAAGATATCAGCAAAAACTTTCACAGATGATCCCTGTTATGTTCCTAAAAGGGAGGCAGTTGTCCAAGTAGCACGTACACTTCTGGCTGCTGTTACACGACTCCTTATTCTGGCAGATATGATTGATGTCTCATACTTGCTGCAACATCTGACCACAGTGAGTAGATGCTAAAGATTGACAAATTAACCGTACATCTCCTCTACTCAGTTCTCAAGCTTCCTCCTCTGATAGATTTAAGTCTGTGTTTTGGCAAATTCTTAATTAAAATAGTGAGGTTAGTAAGTCATTGGTCTTGTAACTATTGATCAATAAAGAGAAAAGAAGATGGATGTGGAATCAGCTCAGCCCAACATACATGGACTGATATATATTACCTTTTACACTATCTTTTATTTTAATTAACATTGGGGGGAAACCAGTGGAATGCTCTTCCATTCTTCGCTATGATCAATGAATGAGCCTTTGTTAACTTGTAAAATCTTTTTATTCTACAAATTATTCATTTTCAGCTTTATGCTGTTTTTAAAATAATTTCAAATGTTTATGACATCTAGTGGTATTTTTTCATTGTAGCTCTGCAAGATTATAGCTTCCCCAAAATTGAAATGTGTTCATTCTGTTGCTCCTAGTAATCATTGTATTATGTTAATTTTCATCCTCTTTCCTACAAATTCAGACCACTCAGTGAAATTAATGTGAAAGGCTCTATAGAATTTTGGGAAGTAAATGAATAAAGAATTCTTTAGAAGAAGGAATTAAAATCCTCAAACCAAGTCAATCATGCTTAAGTCAAATTAGATATAGCCAACTTATCTCATTGCTTTCTGGGAGGCATATACAGGCATTCCCCAAGTTACGAACATCTGACTTACGTACATATGACTCGTAGTTCAAAACGGGGATGAAACCACAGGAAGTGAGATAAATTTATCCCTAGGAAGGGAAATTCACTCCTGAAAGAGTTATCATGGGAAAAGGGGTCTCCACTGAAGCTTTATCCCCAATATTGACAAACTGGTATGTGTCCAGAGGAGGGCTAAAATGATCAAGGGTCTGGCGAACAAGCCCTATGAGGAGCGGCTTAAGGAGCTGGGCATGTTTAGCCTGAAGAAGAGAAGGCTGAGAGGAGATATGATAGCCATGTATAAATATGTGAGAGGAAGCCACAGGGAGGAGGGAGCAAGCTTGTTTTCTGCTTCCTTGGAGACTAGGACGCAGAACAATGGCTTCAAACTACAAGAAAGGAGATTCCATCTGAACATGAGGAAGAACTTCCTGACTGTGAGAGCCGTTCAGCAGTGGAACTCTCTGCCCCGGAGTGTGGTGGAGCCTTCTTTGGAAGCTTTTAAACAGAGGCTGGATGGCCATCTGTCAGGGGTGATTTGAATGCTTCTTGGCAGGGGTTGGACTGGATGGGGGTGTGTGTCTTCATTGAAGCTTTATCACTAATCCTTGTTTTGACAACAAGCCAATTTTTTCAAAATCCAATTATCACAGGGACAGAAAGTGGGGTAAAATCTTCTGAACAGGAACACAGACAGCAAAGCAAACACCACAGAGGTGTTCACCCTTCCCTATGTTGTCCAAAACATGCATGTGTGTGTGTATACACACACACGGCATGTGTGATCGATAAAAAATGTTTCAAAAGTCATTACAAAATTAGGGGTGCTGGTGTTTCGTTTCTAAAGTGTTTCCAAAGTATAGTTAGTGAAAATTTCATTACTATAATGGGAGTAACAAAATGTGTTACTTGTTTGTTATAGTAATTACATGTAATTGCTATAATTGGGAAACTTCGGGGGCTCCATTCTCCCTCATTTTTACAGCTATTTGGATGAAACTTGCTACAATGGTAGATCACATTTACCACTGTTGACCCATCAAGTTTCAGAATGTTTCACTTATCCAAGGATTTGGGGGGAATTTTCAAAGTTTTTATAAGCAACATTTTAAAAAACTACAAGAGTCATCTTCTTGAATTTTCTTTACAACGACACAAGATAAGAGGTGGCCATTCCCCAAAATTTCAGAAATCTTAATACATCTACTGATTTTAGGAATTTTTAAAAGAAGTTTTGACAAAAACACGTTTTTAGAAAGCCACAACAGCTGTCTCATTGAATGTCTTTCATATTAACCAATAGAAACCAATAGAAACCAATTCTACATTTTCATAGAATCCTAGAGTTGGAGGGGACCCCCAAAAGCTATCTAGTCCAACTTCCTTCTTCCAGGCAGAAGGCCAACTCTCCTGAAAGATGGCCATCCAACCTCTAAACTTATTAATATGCTTCCCCTATTGAGTTGGAAGAGTCCCTCAGTGGCCATCCATTTAGAAATTTCTTCCCATCCCGTCAGTCCTCCTCTTTGCAGATTCAACTGTTCCTTGGAACTCTGGATGGTTATGGAGGGACAAATCTCTCCTCTCTCCTGATTGGGGCTTTCTGATGCAAGCAGAATTCTGGGAAATGTAGTTTAGGGCAGGGCCTATTGCATTCTTTGGCATCGGGCTCCTTGCCTTCCGAAACTAAATTTCCCAGAGTTCTGTGTTTTCTTTCCTAGAAAACTCTGCTTCCTCCCAGCTTTTCCTCTCCTATTGGTGAGAAGTCATTAATTTAAAGAGGAAAAGCAGCCTTTTTGGCTTTGCTTTGCTTCCTTGCACTGAAAATTAAACTGACTTTAGGAGGCTTCCAAGATTTACAAAATGCAAACAAAAAAGTATTGTGTAAGTTTTGATTCTTAAGTTTTTTGCATGGGCCACGCTCGCATGTCGGATATCACCTCGTAAGAAAGAATTTAACAAATTTGATATGACTTATGAGGACTAATGAGAAAAATGCACACCTCTAACACACACACACACACACACACACATATTGGCTGGAGATACACTTGAAAAATGTGTCTTTTCTGACTTACAAACAATTTCAACTTAAGTACAAATCTACAGAACCTATTATGTTCATTACTTGGTGACTGCATGTATTAGAAAATTCTTATGACTAAAGCGAGCAATTGTCATTTTGAGATCTTGAAACAACCTGTGTATTTTGTAAATAGAACTATTTTTGTCACATCCTTAAGCTTATATTGGTGAGAGAATGTAACCAACGTGACTAAAAATGCAATGAATTCGTGTCTGCAATTATCTTAGGGACAAAAATACAATGAATTGTATTTTTGTCCCTAAGATAGGGACTTTTAATTTTAATTATTACATTTGGCCCTGCCATTGATTTTAATTGTGTCATTGTGTGTTGTCAATGTTATTGCTTTGTTTTTTGAGTTATTTTGCTGTTTGCTGTTGCTGTTGTTTTTATTTGGGCTCGGCCTCTTGTAAGCTGCATCGAGTCCTTCGGGAGATGGTAGCGGGGTACAAATAAAGGTTTATTATTAGTTTCTTGTGGGTTTTTTCGGGCTATAGGGCCATGTTCTAGAGGCATTTCTCCTGACGTTTCGCCTGCATCTATGGCAAGCATCCTCAGAGGTAGTGAGGTCTGTTGGAATTAGGACAATGGGTTTATATATCTGTGGAATGGCTGGGGTGGGGCAAAGAGCTCTTCTCTGCTGGAGCTAGGTGTGAATGTTTCAACTGACCACCTTCATTAGCATTTGAAGGCCTGGCTGAGCCTGGGAAAATCTTTTGTTGAGAGGTGCTAAGATGTGCCTGGTTGTTTCCTCTCTGCTGTTTTGCTGTTGTAATTTTAGAGTTTTTTAATACTGGTAGCCAGATTTTGTTCATTTTCATGGTCTCTTCCTTTCTGTTGAAATTGTCCACATGCTTGTGGATTTCAATGGCTTCTCTGTGTAGTCTGACATGGTGGTTGTTGGTGTGGTCCAGCATTTCTGTGTTCTCAAATAATATGCTGTGTCCAGGTTGGTTCATCAGGTGCTCTGCTATGGCTGACTTCTCTGGTTGAAGTAGTCTGCAGTTTTCATGTTCCTTGATTTGTGTTAGTGCGCTGCGTTTGGTAGTCCCTATGTAGACTTGTCTATAAAAATATGGCTACCAGTATTAAAAAACTCTAAAATTACAACAGCAAAACAGCAGAGAGGAAACAACCAGGAACATCTTAACACCTCTCAACAAAAGATTTTCCCAGGCTCAGCCAGGCCTTCAAATGCTAATGAAGGTGGTCAGTTGAAACATTCACACCTAGCTCTAGCAGAGAAGAGCTCTTTGCCTCACCCCAGCCATTCCACAGATATATAAACCCATTGTCCTATTTCCAACAGACCTCACTACCTCTGAGGATGCTTGCCATAGATGCAGGCGAAACGTCAGGAGAAATGCCTCTAGAACATGGCCCTATAGCTCGAAAAAACCCACAAGAACCTAGTGATTCCAGCCATGAAAGCCTTCGACAATACAAAGGTTTATTATTATTATTATTATTATTATTATTATTATTATTATTATTATTATTATGAATTCTTATATTTATTTTCTGTTTCTATTGAAAATGAAAAAAAAAACCAAATAAACAAATGCCATATTATTGACTGATACCATACTAATCAATCAGATTTCTGGAAACAACCCAGCGAATTGTATTTTCTATCTTTAAAATTTCTGTTGAGAAATCTAAAATAATGTGGCTACAGTGTAGAAACAACTCTTGGGATGATTTTAGTAGTTATGGAATTTTTTCTGTGACTTTCTCACTGTTTTTGGTTGTTAGACGGTTTGATAAACTACACAGGTGTGCTGTTGAATATTTCAGAAATATGGAATATGCAGTAAGGATTATGATAATCTGCTTCCTATTTTTAAAAAGAAATCATGTATTCATGGAAATAAACTATCAACAAAGAAGAAACTCCTCTCTTCACACACCATGTTAATGGTATAATTTCCCCCTTGTAGCGCTCAACATATTGCTCAACATAGTTTTGTTGAAAAAGTGGCATTTTTTTGTTCTTGCACAGGTAATTTGAACATATACTATTGAACAACCATCAAGCTACAACAAAATTATAATAAATGATAAAACTTTACTTATATTCTGCCCTATCTCCCCATAGGCCAGTGGTTCTCAACCTGTGAGTCTCTGGGTTGTTTTGGCCTACAACTTCCAGAAATCCCAGCCAGTTTACCAGCTGTTAGGATTTCTGGGAGTTGAAGGCCAAAACATCTGGAGATCCACAGGTTG